AGGACTGGGCCGCCAGATTCGAGAAGAAGGAGCGGGAGCTGTTGGTGCAGCTCCAAGTCATTGATTCCAGCGTGACGGAAGTGATTGCGAAGCCTCTACGGACATGGTGGTTCCATCGGAAGTCCAAGCTATCCCCTGTTCAACGTGGAGAGATCACCGCCACTGCAGGTGGCGACCTCAACTTTGGTAAGACATACAAGGCCTTGCTCACTCGCTTCCCGGCGGAGGCGCTGGCGGAGCTCGACGGCAAGCAGCACCGGAGGGCCTTCTATGAGGACACGCCCGTCGACGACGTTGAGGACGAGACTGGTGGGGAAGATATTGATTTCACAGAGGTTGTCGAGCAGCTGATCACCCTCGCTGAAGAAGATGACGATGAGGAGCCAGCTGACGACAACCCAGCGGACAACGAGGTGTTCGCAGAGTTCAAGCAGGTGGGCAGGAGCTTCAAGGACGCTCGCGACCTGATCCGACGCCTTCGAGTGTCCCGCGACTACTACCCGGTCGTGTCGCTCAAGGACCCCGATCGCGTGCCCCCGCCTCCGAACCCGGGACGAGGCTTCCAGCGTGGCCGTGGCAAGAACGGTCGAGGCCGCGCTCGCTTCGACACGGGCAAGGGACGTGACATGTCCAAGATGAAGTGCATCGCGTGCGGCGAATATGGTCATCGAGCGGCGGACTGCAACGAGAGGTTCAAGAAAGATAATACGAGAGATGGAGCTCGTGGGACTACTCACAACGGCTTCGTCCTGTCCGCCCTCGACGAGTACCTCTACCTCCTGGAGCGCGACGGCATCTGGGCGATCCTCGACATCGGGGCCACGAAGAGCCTCGGCGGCCTCGAGAGCGTCGAGAACCTCATGTACGAGATGCTGGACCAGCACGGCCAGGAGTTCGAGACGACACATGACGAGTGCTCATTCACCTTCGGCGACGGCCTCCAGAAGAGCTCGATGGGCACGGTGAAGGGGAACGTGTTCCTCGGCGGCGACCTGACCGAGGTCAAGCTGTCGGTGATGCCGAACCGCGTGCCGATCCTCCTGGGCATGGACATTCTGACTGACTCGCTGAGGGTTGTGGTCGACTGCGGCCGGAACTGGATCGGCCTTCCGACCATGGGCAACAAGGTGTTCTACTGCGAGCGCCTCTCGAGCAACCATCTGGCCGTCAACCTGACGACGCCGCAGTGGTGGAAGGAGGTGCCGCTTTCCTTGCCGAGTGCCGGGTGCCTGGCGTCCGAAGCGACGGCGCCCGATGTTCTGGTGGAGGAGCTGCCCGAAGAGGCCGCTCCGTGCAGCTGCTGCCCTGCGGTGCGCTAGGGACAGCGCCCCCTGATGATGGCAGCAGAAGAGAATTTATCTCGATTGTCAACCTCATCATCGGGGGGGCCACACCGACTCGGTCACCGCGAGTTCGAAACACCTACCAGAGCGACGGAAACCTCGGCGGCGCGGACACCTACCAGAGCGACGGAAACTGCGCCACGGAGCGGATCGGCTCGAGCGACGGAAACCTCGTTTTCGTTCGGACGGACGGTCAGGTCATCCGGCCGGCTCTCTTCATCATCACCGTCGAGCGGGACATCATCACAGTCAAGAGGACCGTTAGCAAGCAAGCCTCAGGATCAAAATATGGAAAAGCAAAGCGATGAGCCAGCACAATACCATCGGTGTTCACCATCATGCTGTTCGCAGCCACCTTCGGCTCAGTTCATCAACTCGGCAATAGCCTCAACCAGCAGTCTTTCACGACCTCCATATTCTTCCCAGGCCGCCACCGGCCGCTTGGATGACATGCAGCGACGGTTCTTTGGCTGGGCAATCCTCGGAGCAACGGCCGCCACCTGTGCCTGCGGCCCGCCCCGAGTGGAGCCGCCCTCGCACGAGGGGATCGCCAACTTCGGCTCCAGCGACCCCGACGCCAACATCAACAGCAACACCAGCTACTCCGGAGCTACCAGCGAAGTGGTACAACCCAGTGGGGAAGTGCGGCTGCTGCGGAGCTCTGGGGAAGACCAAACGCGGGTGCAGCTGCTTCGGGGGCAAGAGCCACCAGTGCCTCAAGACCCCACAGCAGGGAGCACCCGGGACACCAGCAGCGGCATCAGCAGCGACAGCCAGCAGCGCCCCACCGAGTCCAGCGGGGGCTCAGCCAGTGACGAGACCTCCGAAGTCCGCGTGCTCCTGCTGCGGGACCCTCGGGAAGACGATTCGGGGGTGCAGCTGCCGCGGAGGCAAGAGCCACACGTGTACGAAGGCGACGGAGGTGACCATCCGGGAGCAGGCAGTGGCTCTACGCTGGCGGCGCCTGTCCAACAAGCTGAACTCCCCGGAGATACAGGGGGGCTGGAAGTTCACTCCGGAGATGCTCGACGACTCGGAACTGCCGGAGATGGACTCGAAGAGGAAACGCTGAAGCAGCTCGACGACCAGGATCTCAAGATGTTCTACGAGAGCCACGACAAGGTCCTGGACGAGATCTACCAGACCATCGCCGAGGACCTGACGGAGCTCGGCAGGCCCTACCGCATCGACCTGATGGAGGTGTGCTGTCCGGAGGACTCGAGCCTCAGCAAGGCCGTGCAGGACCAGGGAGGCAAAGTGTTCAGGTGCGGCCTCTTCAATGGGATCGACATGGGAACGGCAACCGGGCTTCGACGCGCGCTTCACCTTCTCCGACGACTCCGACCGCGCCGCTTGGTTCTCAGCCCGCCATGTACAGCAGACTGCCCGATCCAGAATCTCAACCAGAAGACAGCTCAGCAGAAGGCCACGTATCTGGCGAAGGTGCGCAAGGCCCGACGTATCCAGCGGAACTGCAAGAGCCTCTGGGGAGACTCGAAGAAGATTCACGACTGCCACACCGAGCTCGAACAGCCAGCTTCCAGCCGAAGCTGGACCAGGTCCCCCTCGATCAAGGCGATGCGCGACCAGATGCACGAGACGATCATCCATGGCTGTGCGCATGGACTTCGCGAAGCTCGTTCCGGCCTGCTGATGAGGAAGGCATGGCGCATATGCTCGACAGACCCGGAGTTCGGCGCTAAGCTCGGCAGGACGTGCTCCAACCGCCCTGGCAGGGGCGACAACCACACACACCGCCCCATCGAGGACGGACAGGTGGTGGCCCAGACGGCCTTTTACCCACCAGCACTGTGTAAGGCTTGGGCAAAGCATATCCTGAAGACGAACACCAGCGCGAGGTACGGCAAGGAGATCTTCACCAGCTTGGAACAGATCCCAGAGGACGCTGAAGAGGAGATGGAGGAGGCCCTCGACGAGGACCTCTTGCAGGATAACCCCGAGGCCATGGACGACGAGTCGGTCATGAAGGGCCTGGGCATCTCCGAGACCCCGACCAAGAAGGAGGAGCTGGAGATCGAGCAACGGCTGACGCGGCTCCACCGCAACCTCGGCCACCCGAGCAACAAGACACTGTACAATATCCTCAAGGCATCGGGAGCACCTCTCCAGGTCCTACGAGCAGCTCTTCGCCTCCAGTGTCACGCATGCCATGCGGGACAACTACCAAAAGCCGTCAGGGTCGCCTCGGGCATCGAGTTGCCAGACGTCCTAGAGGTGCTGGCCTCCGACGGGCTCGAGTGGCTCTCGCCGAAGCAGGACTCTTTCCTGATGACGTTGAACATCGACGAGGGATCCGGGCTCACCAGTGTCACCTATCATGGACAGAAGGGAGAGCGCAATGGCAACAGATCGACTCAGGAGGTGATTTCAACATGGAATGATTGGTGCGGACATTACCGCCGCCCCAGCCTTCTCCGTCTGGACCCCGAAGGTTGTCATCGTTCACAAGCAGTGGCCAGGTGGTGTTCGGACCGCGGCATCGAGCTGTGGATTGCCCCGGGCGAGGCCCACTGGCTGATGGGCAAGGTCGAGAGGCGCATCCAGCTTTTCAAGCGACTGATGACGAAGCTGGCAACGCTGGACCCCGACTGCCCGGTCGAGGAGTTGGTGTCCTGGGCCGTGAGCGCGATCAACAGCATGGACAAGGTCGGCAACCACTCCCCGTTCGAGCACGTGATGGGCGTCTCTGGGATGCCGGCCTCGAGCAACCCGTTCGCCATCATTGACGGGGACACCGGGGAGACTCAGGAGCAGAGGCGCCTCCTTGCGCGCAAAAGCTTCCTGGAAGTAGAGTATGCTGAGCGTCGTCGACACGCCGAACAGGCCCGCAACCGGGTCTATCAGACCTGGAATCCGGGGGACCTCGTCTACTTCTGGCGCAAAGGGAAAGGCCTTGACCCTCGCCCTGGGAAGAAGGGCGGATGGTACGGCCCTGCTCGTGTCCTTGCTCAGGAAAAACGACACGTGGACGGGCGCACCCGTCCTACCTCGGTCATCTGGATCTCCCACGGGAGCGTGCTCATCAGGTGCGCCCCGGAGCAGCTGCGCGTCGCCTCGGAGGCAGAGAAGACGATCGTCGAATTGCAGCGGCAGAGCAACCTTGGCAAGACCATGACGGAGATCTTGGAGACAGCCAAGGGCGGTACCTATGAAGACCTTCTCGGACAAAATCCTCCAGACCTCCGATAATACGAGCCTCCACCGCAGCCGACGATGGCGATCCCCGCGACCGAGGGCCAGACTCTCGAGAACAACAGCGAGGCGGGACTCCCCTCAGGCGCCGACAACGACACACCCGGCGATCCTGATTCCTCCAGGCCACCAACACCAAGCTCAGCGACGCAACCTGAAGTGGAACCGAGTGAACCAGATGTCCGACGGTCCCGGTCACCACCGGCTCGTGCAGCTGACTGGTCAGCAGCCCCATCACGAACGCCAGGGAAAGCATCTACCTCAGCGGCAGTCAGGACGGAGTCTCGAACAGCATCGCGTCCGCCTCCCGCGACCTCGACCTCATCGGCGGCCGGTGCCGCATCCCGAGGCGAGTCGAGACCTAGATGGCGCATGACACACCGCGGACCAGAGCTCGATCTGCACGTACCGCCGGAGAAGCGACAGAGAGGCGCAGACGAGGAGATGGCCGACGCGCTGTTCGACAGCAACCACCTGGTCAACCTCTTCAAGGACAAGTTGGACATCACCCTCGGCATCGACGAACAGCAGACCGTCTACTTCGAGTACTTGCAGGACGAGAATACCACTCCAGACGGACGCCGAGGTTTGATGAGCCACATCCTGGACAGCTTCGTCGTCAACCAGCGCCGGAAGGACAAGGTGGAGCTGACCTGGTCCAAGATGAACGCCACCGAGCGTGAGGAGTTCGAGGCAGCCATCGCCAAGGAGACGAACAACTGGATCCAGCATCAGGGACTCCGCGCTGTCCCGATATCTCGGGTCAAGGACGCGGCGGACGTCATCCGGGCAAGGTGGCTCTTCACCCGCAAGTCCGATGGGAAGGCGAAGGCCCGGCTCGTCCTCCTCGGCTACCAGACGAAGGACCTAGGACAGGAGCCGACAGCCAGCCCCACCGCGTCTCGGCGCGCCCGTCACGTGATGCTAACAGTGGCCGCCGCGAACCGCTGGAAGCTCATCAAGGGCGACGTCACCTCCGCCTCTGCAGGCCCACGACCTCGACAAGGACCTCTTCATCGAGCCAGACGCCGTCCTCAGAAAGGCCTTCCACGTGCAGGAAGGGGAAATCCTCCAGGTCGTGAAACCTGGATATGGGATCGGCGAGGCGCCCCGGCACTGGTGGGAGACGGTCAAGCACGACTTTGCGAAACTTCGACTCCAAGCCTGCGAGTTGGAGCCCTGCCTCTGGAAAGCACGATGTTCCAGGACGGGTATGCTCATTGGTATGATCATGGCCCACGTCGACGACTTCATCATGGCAGGAGATACCTCCCACCCTGAGTGGCAGGACATGGTCAAGCAGATCCGAGGGCTCTACAAGTGGGGCACCTGGGAGGACATGAATGACGGGCTCACCTCTCTCGAACAGTGCGGCGTCACCATCGAAGGGAGCGAACAGGGCTTCTTCCTCCACCAGAAGTCGTACATCGACAAGATCAAGGAGGTCAAGGCGGCCAGCGGCAGTAAGCATCGGACCACCGACAGCCTCAAGGACTCTGACAAGACGGTGCTCAGGGCGTTCTGCGGCGAGATCTACTGGCTTGGCGTGAATACCATGCCATTTCTCTTATCGTGGGTAGCCGATCTCCAGATGAAGATACCAGCAGGTACTCACAACCTCTTCACGGCCGCTAACAACATCGTCAAGCTCGTCAAGCAGAGCCGCCACATGGGGATCAGGATCTACCGGCACGCCCTGGACGACCTCGCCATCTTCACCTGGTGCGACGCAGCCTGGGCCAGCCGCCCGGATGGACACTCCCAGGGTGGTCATATCACCGCTATCTCCTCCAAGGCGGCCATGGACGGGAAGCTCTCCGAGTTCACGGTCCTCGACTGGGGCTCCAAGAAGCTGCGCCGCGTGGCTCGGTCAAGCCTGGCGGCGGAGGTGCAGGAAGCCGGCGACGCCGAAGGCGAGCAGAGCATGGTGCGACTGGTACTTGCCGAACTTCTACACAATATGTCTCCACTGCAAGATACCGCAGCAGCACTACGACGATTACCAGCCATCCTGGTGACGGACTGCAAGGCCTTCTACGACGGCGTGGTGCGATCTCAGTCGGCGGGACTGGGACTGGAAGAGCGGAGGACAGCCATCGAGGCTTTGGCTCTCCGCAACGCCTTGGACGAGGGTCAAACGGTCGTGCGCTGGGTTCACTCACACGCACAGATCGCCGACGGTCTAACCAAGGCAAGCTGGCAGGCATTCGGAGTGGTTCGGGCCTTCCTCGAGAAGCAGCAGTGGCGCCTCATATACGACGAGCAGTTCATGAGCGCTCGCAAGCGGGCAGCTCTTGGCAAGGGCATCTTCGACGAGACGGACCCGACCGACCCGGCCTCAGCTCGTCAGGTACTCGAGGAGCGTAGGTTGGCCCGCCAGGCACAACCACCAGCCAGCATGGAAGGGGACCCTTCCGGCTCGACGACCTCTACTGGGTTCTCGGCCTCCGAATCCCTGATCATGATCCAGAAGTTGCAGCAGGAGATCGAGACTCATCAGAAGTTCGTCCAGCAGCACACACGGAGCGCAGAGATTGCCTGCGCGCACGGCACAGGGCAGAACCTTTTTCCCCCTGTCTGAATGCTACGCAGGAGTAAGCTTGAGCAGCAGCTGCCTCCTGCCCGTCTGCCCTGTCCGTTTCGCCGCCACCCTCGGCTCGAGGCGAGGGAGGGCGGGGCTCTTTCTGACAGAGCCTGGCTGTGCCAGGCAGACCACGCACACTACAGCGCGGCCGTTCATATTGTGGACAAAAGGTGTTCACGGACAATTATCACGATAATTGACATCGACACATACTTTCTCTCGCTCGTCCTCACCGTCACCAGCGTGAACGATCTGGAGGACGAGCTCTAGTAATCAGACTCCAGGATGGCCAGCGGGGGGCCCTCCAGGATGGCCAGATCCCCGGCGGCCGCTGCGAGCACCACGGAGCGGGGGGCCTAGGTCTTGGCAGCCTTGCCCGAGTCGCCGCTCTGTCCACCGCCGCGGCCACCGGCCGGCGGGTGGAGCAGCTGCCGCTCCTCGCGCGCCCTGCGGCGCTCCTTCGCGACGGCCGACTCGGCGGCAAGCTGCCCCGAGATCCATTCGGCCAGGGCGGGCGCGACCACGGGCCCGCGCGCGGACTGCGCGGCCGTGGGGAAGATGCCGCGCGACGAGCTCCATCGAGGCCAAATTGGAGCCATCGACCTGGTCATGCGACTGGGCGACCTACATGATCTTCGACCTCGTCATGCATGGAGACGATCGGATCGTCAGGCGCCACCGCGGGACCCCCGGCACCCTTCCAGGCGAGGTGGCGCCCCATCGGAGATCCGCCATTCTCGACCTGCTAGGTGGCCACCCAGCGGTACGTGCAAGGTCCAGGGATCGGCCAGTATGGGAGCGATGTCGGTCGCATGAGCTGCACGCTGTCCCGACGCTCTCGATGTCGCTGCCCCTGCCCGTCGTATGCGGTGGCGAGTGCGCGGAGGTCGCCCGCGGCGGCGGACGCGCCGCCGTCTGCAGCCGCGGGGCCGGCAGAGGCAGCGGGGCCAGGAACTGCACCAGGGGGGCCAGCCACCAGCGCCGCGAGCCTGGCGAGCCCGCTGGCTGCGGCCGGCGCAGGCGGGGCATCTGATGGGGCGGCAGGGGCTGGGGCGGCTCCAGCGGCGCCAGGTACGGCTGCAGGGGCCCCAGCCGCGACGCCGCCACCCAGGGGACCAGGCCCCGCGCCAGCGGGTACCATCGCGAGGGGAGCAACACCTCCGCCACTAGCAGCAGCACCAGGAGCGGGCCCAGGGCCCGCCGGGGGCTTGTTGTGCTCCGCGAGTTTCGCAGCGCCGTTCGCACAGGCCCGGGCGAGCTGGGCGACCGTCGGCACCGCGGCGAAGTCGTACCGCCGAATGCCCGCGGGCATGACGGCACCGATCGGCGCTGAGGCAGCTCCCCACTCGTTCCACCAATTGCGGATGTCCAGGTTCCCCAGGTCGAACTTCTCGATTTAGACGCCGAAGTCGGGCGCGAGGACAGCGAAGTGCTCCGGCACCCGAGTCGAGAGGCCCACCACGATGCGCTTGTGCGCCAGCCGGGGAGGCGGCTCGTCATACTCAACCCAGATTTCATCGCCCACGACTATCATGAAAAGCGGCCCCCTCCGTCGCGGGGCGGCCGCCGATCAGGCGCGTCGACGCACACAGTCTGCTGCGCGGTCGAATTGGCCACGCCCCCGATGGCGGGCCGCGCCGCGCGGCCCCGGCAAGCGCAGCGCGCTGCGCGCAGCGCCAGCGACAGGGCCCAGCGGGCGCGCTCGGAGGCCAGGAGCAGCAGGTCGCCGATCGCACCTTCCCAGGCACGGGAGGGACGATGCCCATCGCCCGCCTCGCACGAGGGGCAGGCCGGGCAGGGCGAGGGGCAGGCGCGGCTCGCCCCCCTCGCGTCCAGGGCGGCCGCCAGGCAATCCGCCAGCGGCACCTGGACCCCGGCGGCCTCACCCGGCGCCAGGAACGGGCCCGCGTCGGCCAGCGGGGGCGGCGCGGCCGCCAGAGGAGGCGCGGCGGGCGCCTGTGGGGCCGCGACCAGCAGGATGATATTGCTCGCGAGCGGGAGGCCGAGCCCGGTGCCACTGAAGCGCATCCGGGGGAGGGCCTCACCCTCCAGAATTATGCTAACGGAGTTCCCCACATAATGATGTTTTTGGGCTAGCGGGATCAAGCAACATTTTGTAGAGAAATTGCCGACCTGCCCTCGCCCTCTCCATCCTTTTCTATCACATGGTTTGCGAATACCCTCCTCGCTCATGCGGGGCTTCCCTGGAGGGGTGGGACGGGCACGGAACCTGATAAATAGCACTGTTCGCGAATACCCTCCTCGCTCAGACGGGGCCTCCCTGGAGGGTGGGAGGGGCAGGAAATCTGATAAATAACACTGTGTTCGAATAGCGTCCTCGCTCAGGCGGGGCCTCCCTGGAGGGGTGGGAGGGGCACGAAACCTGAGAAATAACAGGTGATGCGAATACCCTCCTCGCTCAGGCGGGGCCTCCCTGGATGGGGTGGGAAGGGCACGAAACCTGATAAATAACAGGTGATGCGAATACCCTCCTCGCTCAGGCGGGACCTCCCTGGAGGGGTGGGAGGGGCACGAAACCTGATAAATAACAGGTGATGCGAATACCCTCCTCGCTCAGGCGGGGCCTCCCTGGAGGGGTGGGAGGGGCACGAAACCTGATAAATAACAGGTGATGCGAATACCCTCCTCGCTCAGGCGGGGCCTCCCTGGAGGGGTGGGAGGGGCACGAAACCTGATAAATAACAGGTGATGCGAATACCCTCCTCGCTCAGGCGGGGCCTCCCTGGAGGGGTGGGAGGGGCACGAAACCTGATAAATAACAGGTGATGCGAATACCCTCCTCGCTCAGGCGGGGCCTCCCTGGAGGGGTGGGAGGGGCACGAAACCTGATAAATAACAGGTGATGCGAATACCCTCCTCGCTCAGGCGGGGCCTCCCTGGAGGGGTGGGAGGGGCACGAAACCTGATAAATAACATGGTGATTCGAATACCCTCCTCGCTCAGGCGGGGCCTCCCTGGAGGGGTGGGAGGGGCACGAAACCTGATAAATAACAGGTGATGCGAATACCCTCCTCGCTCAGGCGGGGCCTCCCTGGAGGGGTGGGAGGGGCACGAAACCTGATAAATAACAGGTGATGCGAATACCCTCCTCGCTCAGGCGGGGCCTCCCTGGAGGGGTGGGAGGGGCACGAAACCTGAGAAATAACAGGTGATGCGAATACCCTCCTCGCTCAGGCGGGGCCTCCCTGGAGGGGTGGGAGGGGCACGAAACCTGAGAAATAACAGGTGATGCGAATACCCTCCTCGCTCAGGCGGGGCCTCCCTGGAGGGGTGGGAGGGGCTTGGTATTGGTATGGTATGGTATGGCTTGGTATGGCTTGGGATGTTATTGGTTTGGTATGGTATGGTATGGTATGGTACTGGTATGGTATGGTATGGTATTGATATGGTATGGCTTGGTATGGCTTGGTATGGTATTGGTATAGTAAGGTATTGGTATGGTATGGCTTGGTATGGTATGGTTTAGGAGAAGGACGCGGGAGGAGGAGGAGAAGGAGAGGGTGTTCTGGGAAAACAAGAACCCCACTCAGGATGTGGGGAAAAAGACTTGAGCAGGCGCGGATGCGGCGCATCGGCGCGACCGCGACGGCCCTCGGTTCCAAAGGAGATGAGATGTGCAAGACCCTGCCATCATCCCCATCCTCATCCTCATCCTCATCCGCATCCTGATCTTCATCAGCATCATCATCACCATCCCCATCGCCATCAGCATTATCATCAGCAACATCATCCTCTTAATCAACATCATCATCATCATCACCATCATCATCATCATCATCATCATCATCATCATCATCATCATCACCATCACCATCACCATCACCATCATCATCATCATCATCATCATCATCAGCATCATCATCATCATCATCTTCATCCGCATACTCATCGTCGTACTCATACTCGTATTCATACTCAAACTCATCATTCTTCTCGTCATTATCCTTATGCGGCACCTCATCTTCCACCTCATCCTCTGTTCCCTCCTCCTCCTCCTCCTCCTCCTCCTCCTCATCATCATCATCATCATCATCATCATCATCATCCTCATCCCGCTATTCCTCCTCCTCCTCCTCCACGACCTCCTGCTCCCTCCCTCCCTCCCTCCCTCCCTCCTTCCCTCCCTCATTTCCTCTCTCCTTCCCTCCCTCCCTCCATCTCCTCTTCCTTCCTCCCGCTCCTCCTCCTCCTCCTCATCATCATCATCATCCTCCGACTCCTCCACCACCTCCTCCTCCACCTCCATCTCCTCCTCCTCCTCTTCCTCCTCAACCCTCCAAATTTCCTCCACCCCCTCAACCTCCTCAACCTTCTCGACATCTTCAACCTCCTCAACCTACTCAACCTCCTGGTCTTCCTCCTCCTCCTACTCCTTGTCCTTCTCCGGCTCCTCCCCCTCCTCCTCCTCCTCCTCCTCCTCCTCCTCCTCTCCTTCTCCTCCCGCTCCCCTCGGCCTCCCCTCCCCCCCCTCCCCCTCCCCCTCCCCCTCCCCTCCCCCACCCCCACCTCCTCCTCCTCCTCCTCTTCCTCCTCCTCCTCCTTCTCCTCCTTTTCTGTTGCTGATTTGTCCTCCTCCTTCTCCTTCTCCATTTCCTTCTTCTCCTTCGCCTCCGTCTCCTTCCTCTCCTCCTTGTTGTGTTTTTTGTATGTGTGTTCCTTGTTGTTCCTCTGTTTCTTTCTCCTGTTACCGGGTCCGGGTCCGGACTTCAACCTTGGCCATTTCTTTACATACCCCGGGGCACGTGAGCCAGAAGCCGGCAGCGAAGACTTCAGGACGAGTCTCCTGGGGACCCGCCTGCTTCGTGGCGGAGAGCAGGGAAGGGAGGTCTGGGGAGGGGGGGCTCGATGCATACCCCACTTCGATCGGTCGGCCAAGGAGCTCGGTCCATATGCGCTGCAGCTATCCAAACTGTGGAACGCTGGAGCGTCTACATACCGAACTCCTTCACCGAACCTCTTGGCTCCCTGGCCGACCAAACGAAGTGGCCTATATATCGGGACCCGCCGAAGGTCACGGAAAGAGGGTGGGTCACTGGGAAATGCGAACGCCTCCTTCGATAATGCCTGGTCGAGCTTGAAATCCTTCACTAGGGTGCGGTGCCGCATCTCCGACTCCCGCCTCTTCTCGGCCACCAGCTGCAAGCCAGCTTGCTCACATAAAGCCTCATCGATCTCCGCGTGCTTCCTCCTCTTCCTTCTCCTCCTTCTCCTCCTCCTCCTCCTCCTCCTCCTCTACGACCTCCTCCTTCTCCACATCCTCCATCCCCCCTCCTCAGCGTTCCCCCACCCACTCATCACTCCTCCTCCTACTCCTCCCCCTCCTCCTCCTCCTCCTCCTCCTCCGCCTCTTTCCCCTTCTCCTCTTCCTCCTCCTTCTCCTCCTCCTCCTCTTCCTACTCATCATCATCATCATCATCATCATCATCATCATCATCATCATCATCATCATCATCATCATCATCATCATCATCATCATCATCATCATCATCATCAGCATCATCATCATCATCATCATCATCATCATCATCATCATCATCAGCAGCATCATCATCATCATCATCATCGCATCATCAGCATCATCATCATCATCATCATCATCATCATCATCATCATCATCATCATCATCATCATCATCATCATGCCTGCTCCTCGTCCTCATCCACCTCCTCCTCCCCCGTTCCTCCTCCACATCATCCCCACCGTCATCAGCAGCAGCATCAGCACCTTCCTCATCCGCATCATCACACTCACTCTCAACATAGCCTGCGAAGCGGGGATTTATCCATATCCACCGCCTGGGAACCGACGTCCTGGTGCCCCAGCGGGCGGTGGATATGGATATATTTCGGTCCCCGGGGGCCTGAATCTGTCCATATCCACCGCCTGCCGAGGCTCCGAAAACTGACCCTCCAGGCGGCGGCTATGTATAAATTCCCGCCTCGGATAGCCACATTGCTAGAATCACCATAACCATCACAGACACCATCAACATCACCATCATCGTCGTCATAAACATCATGATCGACAACAACATCGCGATACATATATATATGTATATATCGCCGACGTGACTCTTGCAAGCCTGGGGCCCGCACTGCATGCCTGAAGTCGCTCTCCAATCACAAGTGACGGTCACGCCAGCGCGGCGGGGTGCAGACACAACACGGTGTGTCGGACCATCGGACAACTGTTACAGCTGCAATGTGCGGTTGCGGCTCTCCACCAGAGACCAACAACATGCTGGTCTTCTTCGTGTCCTCTCTCCCCGCAATACGCCACCGGTAATCATCGATCTCCACTTTGGGCACTGGCGTCGCACTGCAACAGTCGAGGCGAGGTTCCAGCTGCTGTCTTGTTCTATGATGGTCTCTTTCTTCCACGAGGCGCACACTCATTGTCTCCTCGCGCGTCACACGAAGTATTGGGTCGAGAAACCACTTCTGCTGGATTGGCACGCGTCCCGCGCGACATCGGCCATACGCGAGACGGTGTGGCACGGGAGGTGCACGGCGTGCCCCTGGCACGGCTGCAGAGGGCTGCGCCTGCGTTGATCCGCGAGTCGGGCAACTGCACGAAGTGTGGCGCGAAGCTCGCCAACACGAAGATACGCAGCAGGCGACTGCACTCCACAGTCATCGGGGGCTGCTAAAGGTGCCCCTGGACCAAGGTGCCCACAGCTTGTCGCCTGGTCCTGGAGCCCCTGTGGCCCCCTAAGCCTCGTGCTCGGGTGCTGTCTGGAGGCCGCGGGGGCCACCCTGGAGATCCTGGAGGCACCTCGGCGCTAAAAGGCTCTGCACTCCTGGCAGCACCCGAAGCCATACCCGGGCAGGGCCTCCCTGCCCAGGCACGGCGTGGCCTCCCTCCTGGCCGAGCTCGGCAGGGTCTATACTTAGAGAGCCCCGGGTTCGCCGGGGACTGGCTTCCCCCAGGATCGACAAAACAAATCGGTGCGGCACGTCCTGTGCGACCGTCCTCCCGCAGGCGGATGCGTTTCGGGGACGGTCGTGCGGCGCTCCCGCACGCAAAGGGCGCGTGGCGACTGGAGCAGCTTGGCTAGCAGTTCCGCGGTCTGGCAGGCGCTGCCTTCTCGAGTCGTCGAATGGGCAGCTGAAGCGAAGTTCGACGAGTGAAGGTCTCACCCCTGGTCCTGCCCCTCGCGGGCCATTGCGATAGGACTTGAACCTCCCGAAACCCTTCGAGAACTTTCCCGGAATCCTTCCTGGAGGGTTTTCGGGAGGGTTGCGGGAGCCCCTAGGCTGTTCAGGGAAACCAATCCCCAGCAAACCCTGGACTTCCTAAGGTCAGGTCGGGCATGTCTTCCTACAGGCGGACGTTGTGCGAAAAGTGAGAAGCAACCACATTGATTATGGACATATATATATAAATAAATAAATAAAAACTCGCCCACGTAAAATTACAAACGATGCTTTCCAGACTCCCCCCGTAGAGGGACATGCCCGACTTAAAATCATGAGTCAATACACCACCGTTGTGCCCAGGACGGCCGATGTCGGGCACGGCGATGCACAGGCCGCCCCCTTCGGGCAAGACGCGCGGAGCAGCTGCCGTCGACGGGCGCCCCCCCGCCGCCGTCACGTACGTGCCATCATCTTGTCATTCCAGTGTCTGCATCGCTACAACGTCATCGCCATAGTGTTTCTGAGGCTCACAAGGCCATCCAACGGACCCCCTCGACACCTGCAGCAACAAGGGCCATGCGCGGTGAGCCATACGGCGGCAAGGGGTTCCCGGTGCAGCGCCCTTGGGTGCAGGCATCGCGCTTCCAGCGGCCGCAGCAGCCTTCTGGGGGAGGCTTTGGTGGTCTTGGCAACATGGCGGAGCAGTTCTCGGATATGCTCAACAGCGTGCAGGCGTTGGGCCGCATGACCGAGCTCGGCTGCATTCTGAATGCGCAGCAGCAGCAGCAGCAGCCGTGCGTGCAGCAGGGTGCGGGCTCCTCTGGTAGCGTACCAGGGGCAGTGAACCAGCAGAAGGACTTCACCGCCACGGAGCTGGTGACTGCACTCCGCGAAATGCTGACCAACGCCGGGTCCAACAGCTCAACGCCGAGCAGTGGTGACAGCCGCGTTACCGCGATCGTTTCGGAGCTCAGCAAGCTCGCGGGCATGAGCGGGAAGGTGGACAAGGAGCAGGGGCGCGACCTAGAGAAGGACCCGGCCTTCCAGAAGCTGAAGGAGCAGGTCGCGAACATGAGTGCGCAGATGTCCGGGCACCAGCAGGACATTCAGGGGCTGAAGACCACCATGCAGCAGCTCGCCTCGGACACGAATGCTTTCGCGTCGCAGACAGCATCAGACATGAAGGAGATGAGGGAGTTGCTCGTGGCGCTGGCTCAGCCGGGCGGCCGTGCTACGCCTGTGGCGGCGGCACCGGCCGGTGCTGCCCTGGCGGCCGCCCCGGCCGCAGCGGCCATGGTGAGGCCCCAGCCGTTGTTCAAACTGAACATGGACACCGGGGTGCACGACGCAGCCCTGCCTCATGTTGGCGTGACGACAACGCGCCGTGAGGTGGTGACGATTCGTGCGGCCATCGGCGGGGAGATCACGACCTACCCAGAGTGGTGGGACCGCATGTCCAGGCTCAAGACGGTCCCCCTATGGCGCGCAAAGTGCCTGTCTCTCGGGGCGCCCAACGAGACCGTGCAGGGGAAGGCGGTGGAGCAGATGGGTGCCATGCTCTACCAGCACCTCAGCGCGACCGGCGAGTGGGAGACAGTCGCGCTGCAGGGGCCGCCGTGACAGGCGACCACGGGAGGAGTGGCGCGGCCAATCCCTCGACCAGCTCTCGTTCATGTGCAGTGGATGATCGGCGTCGCTGTGCTTATCGTCATCGTGTGGTGCACGCTTCAAGTGTGCGGGCTCCTCCAGGATGTCCGATATGCCGTGGGTACTTTCATTGAGCAATTTCTGCACGCGGCTGGGAGAACGCTGCCTTGGGTCATAGGGCAGCAAGCATTGTACGGAACCGTCAATATCTTCTCTCTGCTGTTTGGCAAGAGCCCAACTGCGAGTTCGGGCCCGCCTCCCATGGAAGAGTTCTCTACAAATGAGGCTTTCCCATTCGAGGTTATGACCGGGAAGAGCACTCATGCTCGCGGGTCTGAGTGGGTGATGAGGCCTCTGTTCATGCTGCTCGGGCGGATGATGAATCGCAGGTGGAGGGCATGAGAGCCGGGAGTGAGGCCAGGCGATATGATTTTGACATGTGTTGCAGCATATTGCCATGTCATTTGATTTGCTTGCTCATCTCTCCCCTCTCGCTCGTCCTTCTGTCCTCTCTCCTTCTTCTCCGTCTGCGTTGCATTCTTCGCAAAAGGGGTCTGTTAGACAATTCTGTATGACAGTTTCGCATCGTGTGACAGGTAGCAGAATGTAGCATTGTGTTGTTGGAACAACAGCAACGCCAACGATACAAATTTGGGCATAGTTTGTATCATCCGCTTGTGCTATGCAGAAGGGGGTCTGAAGCCGTCACGACAGGTTCTGACATGTAGCATTCAGTTTAAGCATGTTCCTTTCCGTTGGTGTCTAGACTCAGGTGTTGCTCACTGGTTTAGGCCGGCGCTCAAGCCCTAACAGGAGGGCGCACACACGTGTGGGCTGGTGAACGCACTTGAGATAAAGAGATTCAGTACACGGGGCGAGGAAAAAATGCAGCACTATCACATTGTTGTTTTTTTTTGTATCGTCTCTTGTACTCTTCCATATGAGTGTGGGAGCGGGGGCACGCGCCGCGCCGTGGCGCGAGCGGGTCGCGCCCGCGCCACGGCGCAGCGCCCCGGCGAGCAGCGAGCACGGCAGCGACAACGGTTCGGTGCAGAGGCGCCCCCAAATCCGACCGCGAGGCGGAGGAGGAGGAGGAGGAGGAGGAGGAGGAGGATGAGGAGTAGGAGGAGGAGGAGGAGAAGGAGGAGGAGGAGGAGGGGGAGGAGGAGGAGGAGGAGGAGGAGGAGGACATGGAGGAGGTGGAGGAGGAACAGGAGGAGGAGGAGAAGACTGATTGACTGACATCCATGGGCGAGCGAAGCTACGAATGGTCACGCTTCAACCTTGGAATTCGCTGGGCGGCATACCTGAGTGGCTGCAATGTTGCTACACATTGGCACTGACTGGTGG